TGCGCTTCCAGCCCTGGGCAACCTAGACGTACTCTTTAACCCATCTAAGGCAGGTTGCGTCTTGCTAGCCGCCTCGAGTACGCTGTCGTGATGCATATCGAGCCTACCAGTAGTCTGTTTGCGCTTCTTATACACACATGAAATGACATTGACATAACTAGTCGCGATTGGTAGCGGCGTCCCTTTGCCAGCGAGGTGCATGCGCCACTGCCACCCGCGTCGAGGAGGTTCGACAGCGAGCCGGAGGTCGGCGACAACCTTGAACTGAGTGGCCTTGGAAAACCGTGGACACGATGCACCTCTACGGCCGGTATCTCTTCTCGCCGACGGCCAAGCTTATGCCGACTCAATGCACGAGCGACGGGTGGGCAATGTACGTCGTGGGGGGATCACATTTTCGTTCAAGTAGCACCTCGGACGGCGAGCGCATCACAATCACGAAGATCGTTGTGCACCTCAAGCAGCTCAACGCGGACACAATGGCTCACGACTTCGTAATCCTCGAGCGGTCCAAGGTGTCGCCGGTCGAGATTGCGTTCAAGGACGACGCACTCGGTGCCATGCAAGGGAATAAATAAGAGGGTGGCCATCGACTCAAATTTCAAGATATTTTTATTCGAAATGCCAGTTCTAACGTTGAGGTAGCGTAGTTTTATTCCACCGCGTGAGAGATTGGAAGCCGCCGGATACCTTCCGGACTTGGATGCCACTGGATTGCTCATCACGATGTCGACAAGGCGAGGCGAGATGAGCGATCCATTGCCGGCGATAGACCGACGCACGCATGTAATATGAAGGATAATCGGTCAATTAGTCTTGGTGCCATGGGTGTTGGCCGGCCTGTCTCGTTTTACCGGTCATCCGGATACGAGGCCAATCAAGTGGGCTCGTCGATTGCCACTTTGCCCTCTTGGCGGCGATGTCGGACGACGCCGACCTCTTTGCCTTTGTGCAAGGGATCATGCTACCTCACTGCTTTAGCCACAAGAGCCAAGGCACGGACTTGCGCATGGCAATCCACGGTATCGACGTCGACTGGCCGCTGGCACCCGCGCACGCTGCCGCCTTGATGACGGCGGACCAGCTGCGCGTGCTTCCGCCGGCCGCCGTCACGTCCTGCGCCCATCTCGACAACCAAGACGAATGGCGTCACGTGCTCGCTCGACTGAAGCTGAATGTCTCGCACCCATTCCATGTCGAGCTTGCGCATGTGGCCCTTGACAGCGTCGGGTCGGCGGCAGCGCTTCGGGCCCCAAACGGCCCACCACGCACGTTTGCGACGCTGCTGTATATGTGCCCGTCTGACTGCGTTGGCGGCGCCGTCACCGTCACATTCGACGACTGGACGACGACGTTCGACGGACTCCACGGAGAGTATATGGTCTACTTCAACACATGCACTGTCTCGGTAGCACCCATTGTTTCTGGCACCCGCGGGGTCCTCGCCTACCACGTCGCCTACCACGAGTTGACGCGCGAGGCTGCCATGGTGTGGGCGCCGCCGCCGCTGCCGTCGCGCGCCCAGATAGACCAAGCGATTGCCAATCAAGCCGACGAAGACTACTGCGCGATGCAGGTCGTGCTGGAAACCCCCTGCGCTGCGCCGCGGTTCGAGACACTTGACGGCCGCGACAAGGCGATCGTCGACTGGCTTTTGCGCGCTGGCTGCTTTGATATGGCGTTTATGCGTGTGGGTGAGTACCACACGCACGTCTGGAGGGATGGCTCTGAGACACCGACATACCCGATTCCGCTCCTTGACGCGACGTTCCATCCGCAATGTGCGACGCCAGCGCTCGTGCAAGAGGCCTGTCGATGGCGCTCCATGTCCGAGTACCTCTACGACGATGTGACTGCCTTCTACGAGATGGACCCGACTCTGGCCTGCCTCGTCTTTTGGCCCAAGGCCAACCGATTGACGCTGCTGGGTCTGCCGCGGACGCTGCGTCTGCTGCACTCCATCGTGTTTGATAAAACCGACCACGACAACCTCGGGTACAGCTCGCGACTTGCGCTCTTTGCGGCTGCGACGCGCCTCTTCATCTCGGACACGCCGGGGCCGCGCCAAGACGAACGCACGGACGAGATGCTTTTGGAGATGGCGTGTCTCCTCTACGACTACGGCGACGCCGCGCTCTTGGGTGAATTCCTGTCCGAGCGCGAGTGGGATGGGCAGGACGACATGGCGGCTGTGGTCGCGATGGCCGTCGACCGGTTTGGCCGCGCGGCCATGGAAGCACCCTTGCGCAACCTTAGCGCGTTCACATCTGCGCGGTTCCGCTACAAAGTGCTGGAGCATTTGACGCAAGACAACGATTCGCAGCACGCATCGTGGCTCTATGACATTGCGCATGGCTGGTGGGCTGGTGCGCGCAACTCTGTGGCCTACCCATACATGCCGCCAACGGAAGGCAAGCTCGTCGGCGCTCTCCAGCTCGAAGCGTGGCTGCACGCCCATGTGATTACACCGGACGTCCGAGCTCTCTTGGCACTGCGCCTTCCATTGGATGTCATCACCGGCATTGGCGCAGCACTCGTCAACGTGCCGCCGCTGCTACAAGTTCTGAGCAATCATCCCAAGGGCGTCCGTATGCTTCCATCAGCCTTGTGGGCAGTGCGGACGATCGCGCTGCCACCAGCCCTGCACCGCGCCTATGTCGATCTCGCGGTTCGTTGCTGTTGCGATGGCGACGCGACCAACGATGCTGGGCTGGCATATCTGCTGCTGCTCACCTCCGGCTCAGACGCGTTCGAGGTCGTCGCAGCGGTGGCAACCAGTCGGCGCTCGAGCGGCCGATTCCAGCGCACGCTGCAAGCGAATGTGACGTTTTCTGCAGAGCAGACGATCGCTCTTCGCCCATTCATTTCTCGCTAGCGTTAACGTTGGTCATTTGCCGAAATGAGACATTTTTGGACAATGATGTACATTACCGGAGAGTATATTGTTGCATGAAATTTGTTGCTGTGGCCAGCACGGTTTTCTACAAGGATGCAGACCTTGAATCGCCCAAGAGACGAGAACATGGGCGACCTGCGATCATTCGATGCGGGCGCGCCATCGAGCTGCATGGGGATCTCGGAGCACCAAGTCCGGAAAAACTCCGGGAAGTTCCGGGTTCCACTGAAAACAAAAACGACCAAGTCCGTTGGTCGGTCAGCGCTCCAGCAGCAGCATGCGCTTGCGCTTCCACGTGTCCCTCGACGCGTCCAACGAGATCAGCTTCAAGGCGCTCAAGGCCACGCTAGCCGAGGACGCGCCGCCGGTCGAGGATGCGCCATTCGACGCACCTGCGCTGCCGCACGAAGACGGGCCGCCATCCACGCCACCGCTCGTGCCCGCGCGTCCGAGCCGTGGCAAGTTCAACATCATCGAGCACCTCGAGCAGCGCTATGGCCGTGGCGGTCCGCTCGATATGAAGGACACGGTCGTGCGCAA